AGGGAGTGGCAGATATCTTTGGTGGTGAAAAGGTTGAGCATTCTTGGATGGATAAGCCGCTCTGTGAATTTAGAGGAGAGGAAACGCCAGGTCATGGGAAGGCGGCCCACAGGGAAGAGGGGTTGGAAACAAGCCTTTGTCACCCACAGCAGGCAACAGTAATGGGTCACTGCATTAGTGACCCTTTCTGTCTGTGGGCTTGACGTGGTATGCTTGTGGTTTGATGTAACCTTTGGGTCCCATTGAGATACTGTGACCTTCCCTGCTTAGTGGCTGGGGGTGCAGTACCTTCATTAAATGTGGTGAATAGAACTTCTACCAGTAACCTCTTCCCCACAGATGACCCACATTTTTGTGGAGTTGGTGACCACCAACAGGAAGTTGCAGAAATACTTGTCAGCCATACCCTGGATTTCAATAGACACTTACTTACCCACAGTAGCTGTTTTGGTCAATTTGGCCTCCATTGATTTCTAGAGAAGAATGACCTGATGCATCAGTTCTCATCATGGCATTGGTCTTGGCTGTCCTCTTGACCCTGATGGACATTTTGATTAAATACATAGTGTCGTCTTTTGAACAACTGTACCTATTTCCAGCCAGTTGGGGTTTTCAAAATATTTCCAAGGGTGTTACCAACTTAGCTGAGTCTTTGTTTGATGGGCTCTTTGCTTAAATATCTTTGGAGAGAGTGACTCCAATAACTAGGCAGGAGGGATGGGCTCCACTCATTACCTGGTAAACCATTGCTTTGGAAGATCTGTTTCATAGGCATTGGGCGAATGCATGTTTCCCAGGGGCTGGCTGGGAAATTAATGCTTCTTGGGTCAAAACATTCCAAATACTGGGCTTTCAATCCCGTGGGAAAATAAGCCATCTTGATCTTTTGGTTTAATTTTCCTTAGGGCCACTGATGGTTGAAAAACCTTCTGTTAAGATTTTGCCTTAAATGTGTTGTCTGCAGTTCTGCTGCTGGCCTTGGTGGTGAAATCCAGTTATTATTATTAGTTAATAATCTCTTTAACTGAATGATTCCATCAAATGATGCATCTGAGAATTTGAATGTAAATATTCTTCTTAGCCCCAATTGATTTCTCTCATTCTAGATCTCTAGCTGCCTAAACCCTGAAAGCTCACAAAACCAAACACAAATACCACCACATGCAGAATGGCATTCTCCAGACACCAACTGGGAAAAGACTAGGAAAACATTTTTGAGCCTTCTGGTATAGTCACACATGTCCGTGTAGCTTTTCAAATTGTGAGCTGCTGAAGGGGGGAGATACTGCTGTAACTAACTTTTAAAAATGAAGCAGTTGCCCTTTGGAGAGGTTGAGTGGCTTCCTTGGAATCCTGCAATTGGAAAATGGTTGAGTGCCTGGGATAAGAATACCAGTGAGCACCTTTGCTCTTTCCTCCAAAAGTGAAGCCTGGCTTTGGAATTTGCACTGACTTCTCTTTTCAGTAATAAGCTTATGTAGAAAGCAAGCCAGCCAGAAAGTTTTAGAAAGAAATGATCAGGCCTTGTGAAGTGTTCCAAGTGTGATTTGGGATTTGGAGCCTTTTGCCCCTTTTAGTTTTGCCTGTTGCTTTGTAAACTCCTGGAGGATAGAGATTAGACTCAAAACCTTCAGGCTAGAAGGGGGAAGGGCGTGAATTTTGCCGAAGACTTCTCTGGCAGGCAGTAATGGAAGGGGCTTTACAGGCATCATTAACTGACTTGAATTTCACAATAACTCTATGAAGGAGGGGGTTGGAGTTCATTTTAGTTTTCTCTCAACCTAGTCAGCAATGCCTGTCTCAACTCTTTTTGGTGAGTAGTGACACACCATATTAATAATTCAACTAGTTAATCACTAGCAAAGATTGTTTACTAAGATTCCAGGGGAAGTGCTTTGCTGGAATCTGTTTTTGAGCTGGTCACTCATGCCATGCATCCATTTTTACTGAAAATAATGCATCGTAGAATCTCAGCTCCAGCTCTGTAGAGCATTAGAGACGGGCAGGGCCCATGGCAAGAGAGCATTTTGCCAATTTCATGCAGAAATGCATTGACTTTTCTGTGTAGAGACAGCGGCTTCTCTTGTTGCTTCTTATCAGTCTTCCCCAAAAGAGTTAAAAAGACCGGGAAATGCAACATTTTGAGTGAAGTAAGTAGCCTGCACTTTGGTTACAGGCTCTGTGTATTTCCCAGGCTATTGTAGGTTTCCTATTCATCTGGTGTTGAATGATGGTGTGATTAGCATGAGAGCAAGTGTATAAAGTAGGTCTTTTTCTCCTTTTCCTAAAAGAAGTTCTGTGGCGTTTCTTTTTCTGACAGAGTTGGCATGAAGCTTTGACAAACACAGACCCAGGGAGAAGTTAAATAGGACTGAGAGCGCCCCATTTTGTACAGACCCTTCAAGCTTAGCATGCAGAGCGGCAGTGCAGCTGGCTAGAGGCACTTGGGATCATCAGAGTCATAGCAAGGGTTGTTCCTCCCCCGTGGACCAGTGATGAATGGGAAATACCCACAAAAAAACCAATGGGAAAGTGCATTCTTGGCTAGTGACCATTCTCTGTTGTCAGAAAACTATAGATGGGAACATTCCTGGGACTCTCCTGGTCTATCTTATCTGTCCTTCAGTGTTTATTGAGATACATACAAAGGCTGAGAGAGATACGAAGAGTCAGGAGAGGTTGATCCTGCCCTTAAGGGGAAGATATGAGAAGATAGGTACACAATCAGTTGACCTAGAAAACAGAGCCAGGTGTCTTGAGTGGATAATTAAATGAAAAACTTAAAATGGGGAGTCTAGGAAGCAGCTCCTTGCAGATCTTGGGCTCTGTTCCCTGCTTTGCTGTATTGGATGGGGGCGCCTCTGGCAAACCACTACCGCTTTAGGAATGATACAGAGGGTGTGACAGTTCATTTTCAGCCAACCTATTAGAGCTATTGAGACCAAAGGTATGGTGTCACGAATATATAGGAAATGCTTTAGGCTATAAAACCGTATATGTATTGTTCAATGAATATATATGTGTGTGTATATATTTACATATATATGTGTATATGTAGATGTGCATGTATATATAATCTTCTGAGTTTGCTCTCTTCTTTCCATTCTCCCTGTCTTTTTTTAAAATTTTTTATTATTTATTTTTCAGAGAGAGAGAGGCAGAGCATGAGTGGGGGAGGGTCAAAGAGAGAGGGAGACACAGAATCTGAAGCAGCTCTAGGCTCTGAGCTGTCAGCACAGAGCCTGGCGCAGGGCTCGAACTCACAAACCACAAGATCATGACCTGAGCCGAAGTTGGATGCTGAACCGACTGAGCCACCCAGGCGCCCCTCTATTCTCCTGTTTCTATCTCATTTTAGATGCATACTATCACATACTTGTGGCCAAAAACCTTTTTTTAAAGGTTTTATTTCTAAGGTGATAGTGTCTCCCTTCCCATATACTTTAAGGATAAAGGAGTCATTTTTTAAAAATGTTTTTATTTATTATTGAGAGACAGAGACAGAGCATGGGCATGGGAGGGACAGAGAGAGGGGAAGACACAGAATCTGAAGGAGGCTCCAGGCTCTGAGCTGTCAGCACAGAGCCTGAAGCAGGGCTAGAACTAACAAACCAAAAGATCATGACCTGAGCAGAAGTAGGAAGCTAAACCGACTGAGCCACCCAGGCGCCCCCAAGAAGCTGTTTCTTAAAACAGCAGTTCAGATTGCATAGGACCTTTTCTTCAGACCAGGACATTTATGATCTCTTATTGACTATGAAATAACCTTTTATTTATTTTTTTAGGTTTATTTATTTTGAAAGAGAGATAGCATGAGCAGGGGAGGGGCAGAGAGAGGGAGACAGTGAGAATCCCAAGCAGACTCCATGCTGTCAGCACAGAGCCCAATGTGGGGCTCAAACCCACAAAGCCGTGAGATCGTAATCTGAGCCAAAATCAAGAGTTGGATGCTTACCCAAATGAGCTACCCAGATGGCCTTAGAAAATAAACTTTTAAATATGTTTGAGATCCTTCAAAGTGAGGCCCCGACCAACCTTTTCTGCTTCTCGGAAAGGCTGGCTTCCCAGTCCCCCCTAGACTCCCCTTCTCAATGCCCTTTTCCCAGGCATCTCCCTTCTGTGGCTGCTCCTCCGCTTCCCCACTGTCATTCTTTCCCTTTGCTCACTGTGTGCTACTTAATAACCTCCCCTACTCAGTTCAAGTGAAGTGAAGGCTGTGAAGCCTCTTCCTGTTTCCTTTGGGCAGAATTAAGACCTTCTTTGGACCCTCATAGCACTTTGTGTTGATCTTTCTGAGGTAGAACATTTTGGTTTATTTTCACTTTTGTATAATTCCATCTTAATAGATTATGACTTCCTGGCATATAATAGATGCCCAAGAAATTGTATGAAAATATCAACAAAAAGCTATGTTAGAAAATAGAGACAAAAAGCAAGAAAGAGAAGTAATAACATTTTTGCCGCCTCTACTACCATAATTAAAGTAGCCACTGGCATGCTATCTCTTCTTTCTATAAATAGCTACATTATTAAGTATAATTATAAAGCTAAACATTGGGTACTTACTGCATGCTTCCTGCCAGTCAGTGTGATGAAATGGGAAAAAACCTTTGCTTGCTAGACTTTGTAACAGCCCATCATAAAGTACTAATGAACTTGAGAGAATTGAGAGTATGTAACGAAATTAAATGCCACTAGATATTTTGAGTTCAGTTTCTGATTCATACAGTGTTTTGTGGTCAGCAGGCTGAATTTGTACTAACCATGATAGCTTCCGTTTAAACAAAAAGGTGTTTAGCTTCCCTTAAAAGCTAGGGCTATTTTTAAACTTTAGGTCTTTTCTTTTTTAAAAATATATTTTCGAGAGCATTAGCAAGTGAGCGGGGGAGGGGCAGAGAGAGCGAGGGAGAGAGAGAATCCCAAGCAGGCTCAACACTGTCATCCTGGAGCCCGATGCAGGGCAGGGCCTGATCTCCCAACCCTGAGATCATGACCTGAGCCAAAATCAAAAGTCGGACGCTTAACCAACTGAGCCACCCAAGTACCTTAAAAGCTAAGGCTCTTTTAGAATGAGAGATTTTTCTCATCTGGTCCTGTCTAAAGGTGGGGTTCTACATGGAGAGAGCAGAAGCCTTCTGCAGAGGAAAGATGCCCAAACTGGGAAAAAGAAATCTGGGTTTCTGTCCTAACCTTCTAATTTACTGGATCACCTTGGCCAGGTAACTTTCCTTCTCTATGACTGTTGCCTCAAAGATTATGTTAGTATGATATCTTGTCTTGCTGTAGTTTTAATCGAGCATCAGCTATGTTTGGTACTGTGTCATTAATTATTAGCATTATTAATATTAATCTGTTTTATCATTAAAAGCCCTAGAATAAACGGTCGTGATTTGTCATTTCAACAGATATGCCTTGAGGATCTTTAATATACCAGGTAATGATGAACTGGATGTGGTCCCCGCCCATGAGTCTTCTGGAGCAGACACTGGGCACATACAATTCTAGAGGTACAACACGGACATTGTACAGGGGTAGCAGAATTGATCTAGGGGGACCGAGGTTGTAACATCACAGTTGTTTGGACCGCAAATCGGGAGAATTTAGGCACCCTTGTCAAATAAGCCATCACACCAACAGTGGTTCTTCTTTCTCAGCCCTGACCGGTACTGATGGCCATCCTTTAGAAAAGTCTTAGAATGCTGCAGGCATTGGGGCACAAGCATCAAGGGTTTCCCCTGCCCACCCCTGTTTTATGGATGGGAAAACTAGGCTCAGAGAAGTTAACGGTCTTGGAAAATGGGTAAAATTCAGAGGAAATAAAATGTGTTTGTTCAAGTTTAAATCCAGTAAGTATCTATTTTAAAGCATCCCTAGGGCACCTAGGTGGCTCAGTAAGTGAAGTGTCTGACTTAAGCTCAGGTTGTGATCTCACGGTTCGTGAGTTTAAGCTCCACATTGGGCTCTGTGCTGACAGCTCAGAGCCTGGAGTCTGCTTTGGATTCTCAGTCTCCCTGTCTCTGTCCCACCCCCGTTTGCGCTCTGTCTCTCTCTGTCTCTCAAAAATGAATAAACATTAGAAAATTTTTTTAAAGCATCCCTGCATACTATGGATTTGGTTATTTTGCAGATCAGATATTGACCCCATGTGTCAGTAATCTACAAAGCCTTTTAAACCTTAACATACCAGAGCACAGTGATACATTCTTACAGTAAAAACAAAATGCCAAAAATACGATTATGTTCAAAGGGAATAACACTCTTACCCATCACCCCTCAAAATTCTAATCCCTAGAGGCATCTACTGTTAACAGTTTCTAGTTCCTGCCAGCCTTGTTTTCAATACACAGGTATTCTCCTTGACACCCACCTTCAGCCATATTGCTCTCATTGTTTCCTAGACACACCCCACAGATGTCTGCCTTCTGGCCTTTGATCACGTCTTCCCTCTTCAAAGCACCCTCCCTTCCCTTCCTCTCTGCATGTGGGAAAGAGTATCCATTCTGATGGCTGGTTTCTATTCATCCATTCCCTCACTGCATCCACCCTGGGGTACTTTCACCTCCTATCTGATGGCACCTTAAACAGACCATTTTTTTTTTCAAGGTTATTTATTTTTTTTATTTTGAGAGAGACCGAGAGAGTGTGAGTAAGAGGGAAGGGGCAGAGAAAGAGGGAGAATCTCAAGCAGTCTCCACCCACTGATTAACGGGGCTCGAACTTAACTATGAGATCATGAGCTGAGCTGAAATCAGGAGTCAGACGCTTAAGCGATGGAGCCACCCAGGCGTCCCTAGATGGCCTTTAAGATCTCCTGTGGTCATAAAATATTAAAGAGCACACCTGGCACAATGACTTGGGAGTCTTGACAGTATGGAATGGCTGAATCCTGTCCCAGGATTTCAGCATAAGAGGAGAGATGAAGAGATTGACTTTACAAGTTCCCCCAGCTTAACTCTTGCCTACAGTGTTACACTTTACAAAAAGCAGTGAAAAGGGATGAGACTTGGGACCCTTCTGGGTTCAAATCTTGGTTCCACCATTTGCTAGCTTACAACCCGAGGGAAGAGTTGTAACCTCCCTACGGTTCCTCATCTGTAAAATGGGGGGAGGAAATCCCTCTCTTAGAGGTTGTCCCAAGATTGGAAGGTGCCCCGGCAGACAGCAGGCTCTTCCACATTAACCTCTGCCCTGCCCCCCCCACCAATCTTTCTGTTTGGAAACTGTTATCTGTCAGAGATGATTGGCAAGCCTCAGAACAGATAAGTGTAGTCAAGAGTGCTACCTGGATTTATAGCAGGTGTAGTATACAAAGTGTGGATTAGATGTAGCTTATCTGATCTTTGAAAAGCAGCTTTGGAGTTCTTCCAGAGAATCCTACGGCAGCTGCCCAGATAGCTACCTTGCCGGCTGCTCTGGCAGAAGGAAGGTGTTTTCCAGGGGGGGGGGGGGGGGAGGAGAGTGCCCACTGGGATTTTGTCTTTAATGCATTCCAATGTCTGAGGCCAAACTTGCCTGAGAGATTAAGCTGAGCATATTAACTGATATCATTTAGAGTTGATTAAAACTATCATCTTAATTAAATACAAGGGAACAAGAAGTTCTCAGTCTTCTGGTAGCAATTAAAGACTAAAGAGTCAATTTGAAGTTGTTTTTGCAACTCTTAAAATAATACTCCCTCTCCCCCCTCCCATGAAAAAGAGTTTCTTAGCTATAGACATGCCCGCACATTGAGGGTTTTGAAAGCTGTTAGGACGACAGACCTGCTGGCAAAGCTTGCTGCTGCCAAGGCATCGGGGTTCTCAAAAGCAAGAGGGTTCAAGCTCAGGATACGCCGATTTGGAAAGAGGGCGCGAACAAAGGGCCTTTTGAGGCAGGAAACGGGGCTCTGGCTTCAGCACAGAGCAGTGTGGGATTGGAACAGCGCCCCGGGACTTGTTGAGGAGGAGAGGGACTGTGGGATCGATGGAGGAAGTGTAAACTTTCTCCATACAGTGAGTTTATTCCAAAACCCTCGAAAGCGGGTTCAGAAGCTGTTATCTTTCGTCTGTCAGCTTAATCTGCGTGCCAATAAGATGCAGACTTCACACTAGTGTGTCTACTGGCAGAAAAGGGAAATGACCCACAAAGGTACACACGGACATGACCGTTCTAGCAAGGATGTCTGACCTGAGACCAAGGGTTTCCCTTTCAGGACCCAAAGCGACGACATTCACAAATTCATTGATTCGCCCGCTTCTCCCGGCAACGTTTACGCATCACCTGCTATCTGCGAGGCTGATAGAGCTGAGTTAAAAGAGTACAATTCCTGTCTAAAGGAGCTCAAACTTGAGTTGACCAAAGCGTGAAGATTTGAAATGAAGGAGACTGCCTTCCTTCATAAATACCTTCCACCGTGTTCACATACATGTGACCCTCTCCCAGCCACAGGCTTTTAAATTTGACCTTCCCTGGTGAAGTGAGACTTTTAATACTCATCTCACAGATTTTCTAAACAGCAGCAAACTGACCAAGCCCTGCAGGGACAGTTCGATTAGAGAAGAGTCATAAGCATGGGGGAGACTCAGCGATGTAACTCACAGAAGAAAAAATAAATTCCAGCAGATCCTATTCATTTTTTTCCTGTTCTTCATTTTTATGTATCTAAACTCTACCTACTAAGCAAAAACTTCCATGAGCAGTAAAGACCCACTTCCTGTCAACTGCTTGGTAAGGTTGGGGTGGGGGTGGGAGGTGGAGAGAGAACAATGGGAACAACAGAAGGAAATGAGTGGGTTTGGCAGAACCATTGACAACAGAGAGGATTCTGGGAGGGCCTAGGTCAACTGGGACTGTCACCTAGACATGGCACAGCAGCTCTGGGTCACAAATTTGGAAAACTAAGATTTCAGGGAAACAGATAGGACTCAGAGATGTGAGCAAGAAGGGACAGTTTTTCATAGATTAATGACCTTAAATATTTGTGCTCCGTGCCCCAAGTGTGCAGCAATAATGTAGTCCATGTTGAGTGGCTTTCGAGAGTCAAGATCTAAGCCTGTGCCTTGTAGCATTATTTATGTGGCAGTTAACTAGTATTGTTTCTACCTAGTTGGTTTACAGACCAGCAAAGTCAAGCACACTTGAATTCAGAGGTGCCAGGGCCTTGAAATGCATACAGGTTAGGTTACTCTCACACTAGTAGGTGTCATGAGATGTAGGGACAGCTGGGCTCTCTCTTTTGATTCACACTGCAAGTGGTATTTTTTTGACAACTGGGCTTAATCAGAGAAGTTATAACAGTTGATTTGTTTATTGAACAATGACATTTAGAAGAAAAGTCTCCGATGTATTTGTAGATATCTGGACCACACACACAACTTTTCTTTCCCTCTTTGAACTGGAGCGTTTTGTATGGTAGATGAAGATTTGGAGAAAATACCATATTCCTATACATATTTGGAGAGGTATAGAGAATAACTATAGGTTTATGCAGAACTCTGGAGGCAGGGACTTCCTCTTTTTTTTTTTTTTTAATGTTTTTATTTATCATAGAGAGACAGCATGAGCATGGGAGGGACAGAGAGATGGGGAGACACAGAATCTGAAGGAGGCTCCAGGCTCTAAGCTGTCAGCACAGAGCCTGACGCAGGGCTCTAACTCATAGACTATGAGATTATGACCTGAGCTGAAGTTGGAGGATTAACCAACTGAGCCACCCAGGCACCCTGGGACTTTCTCTTTTTACTTCTGTATTCCTGTTGCCTAACTCAGGGCCTGGTATACATAATTTGTTCAGTAAAAATTAAAAAAAAAAACCCAGATAAACCCAAGTCATTAAAAAAAATTTTTTTTTTAGTTTAGTTTTGACAGAGAGAGAGACAGAGTATAAGGAGGGGAGGGGCAGAGAGAGAGAAAGAGAGACAGAATCCAAAGCAGCTCCAGGATCTGAGCTGTCAGCAGAGAGCTGGACATGGGACTTGAACTCGTGAACCACGGATCATGACTTGAGCCGAAGTTGGATGCTTAACTGACTGAGCCACCCAGGGGCCCCAAACCCAAGTCATTTTTACACTAGCATAAATGTTTTAGCCTAAATCTATGAGTTTCTTTTTCACCACTGATGTTTTAAACTACCCAAAATTTGGGGGAAAAGGAGAAAATCACCCATAATTCACCACCTAACACAAATGCTACTACCATGTGGGCATATTTCCCTTTAGCCATTTTTATTTGAGTTTCTTTCAGTTATTTAGGTATATATACATACCGATACACATAACGATTTTCTGTGCCGCTAAGAATTGCCATAATCAAAGTTATTCATCTTTATGTTCATTCAGAATTAAGGATTACCTGTAACCACACAGAATTCTCTTCTTTCCCTTTTGCTTTCCTCCCCACTTCTCCCTCAAATTAATACTCTCTGGGGTAGGTACTGTTGCCCCTGTTTGCTAGGGCTTCTATAACAATGTACCCCACACTGAGTGGCTTACACAGCAGAAATCTATTGTCTTAACAACTCTGGTGGCTAGAAGGCCAAGTTCAAAGTGATGCACGGTGGTTCCTTCTGAGGGCTGTGATGGAAGAGATGTGCCATGGCTCTCTCCTTGGCTGAAGATAGTTTTCATGTGCACTTGGTGTTCTCTCTCTACGCCCTGTATGTGCCTCTCTATATCCAAATATCCCATTTTATTAGGTCACTTGTCATATTGGATTGGGATCCACCCTAATGATATCACTGTGACTTAATTACCTCTGTAAAGACCCCATCTCTAAATAAGGGCCACACGTTTTGAGGGGGTGGGGTGGGGAGGAGACACTTCAAGCATAACATATCTCTTCCATGTATATGCAAGGAGAACGAGTCCCAAGTTCAGTAACTTGAGCTTTGAATTTAGGCTTCTTGATTCTGAAATGTGCATTATCCTCACATCCTGTTTTCTCCTCATGAATTGAAAATGCCGTGAACAGAGAAACAAAATTCCTTCCTTGATTTGAATTTGATTCGTGTGAGACAATGTTTGATGATGGTTATTAACTGCTAAATTTAGCTGCTTGACCATTTGGAACCTGAGTAGTCATGTTATTTAAAAATGAAGTGAAGTCGAGTACACTATGCTTAGAACTTTCTATTGTTCTACAGCGTGGGCTAAACCTGTTGCATTCCTCATGGCCCCAGGCACCCCAGCAATTCCCTGGGAGGTGGATCACATTTCATAGTAAAAAACCAATCAGTGTTACATGTTGGTCATCAACTATTTTATCTTGTTTCTCTTTTCTGTAGATCCCTTTTAATTTTTCATTCTTCAGCGTGACTATGGCAAACTAGGAGTACACACACGTGCGTACCTACTACACCCCCACATGCACTTTTTTATAAGAAAAGTAACGTTTCTTCAGTAATCCCTAACACGTGATCCATCCTCAAAATTGCAAAATGGTCCCCGTATGTCCTCTACAGAGCTTTTTGGATCCAGGATTGAATCGAATTTCACCCATCATATTTGATGCTGTTTCTGTAGCCTGTAAGTCGGGGGACCTTTGGGGTAGTGCTGCACCCGAGTCCCTTTTTCTTTCTTTCTTTTTTTTTTTTTATTTATTTCTAGGAGAGAGAGAGAGACAGCGTGAGCAGGGGAGGGTCAGAGAGAGAGGGAGACACAGACTCTGAAACAGGCTCCAGGCTCTGAGCTGGCAGTCAGCACAGAGCCCGACGCGGGGCTCGAACCCACGAACCGTGAGATCATGACCTAAGCGAAAGTCGGACTCTTAACCAACTAAGCCACCCAGGCGCCCCACCCGAGTCCCTTTTTCACCGAGTGCGCTCCGGCAGATCACTGTTCTTTTCCTCACGTCCTCACATGAATGTTAAAAAAACGGTGTGCCCTGGGATTATCCCCAGCTGCTCTCACAGGTATACTTGGTTCATTGTGGATGCATAATAAATACTGATTGGAAGAAAGCGAATGAAGAGAAAGTGAACCAATAGTTTCCATCTGCATGGAGGCTACCAATATGAAGTGAAGGTCCCAAGCATTCCCAAGGGACATTCCATTCAAACCAGCCTGAAGTGTTGAGAAAAATCCCCAGTTATTTTCCGTTAGCGGGAAATAAACATTGAAGACACTGGTGTTTTAGAAAACTGCGTATCTTGTTGCCCTTGACTGCTTTAAAGGAAATGGAGAGCTCCCACTTGGGGACAAAGGACTACCCTAATCCTCTTTCTTCATTCGGATGTATTTTGTAGGGAAGACCGTCAGCAATAACAATCACTAGCATGAACTGAGTGCACTTTATATATGTACTGTATCTTTCAACTTCACGCTCGCCCCTCAAGATTGGCTCAGCTATCCCCATCTTGCAGATGGCCTTAAAGATGTTAGCCACTTGCCCAACGTCACAAGCCTAAGAAGAAAGCGATGCAAGCTTCAAATGCAAATCAAATCGACCCCAAACCCTGTGCATTTTCAGATAATCTGTATCGTAACTCACTCACATCTCATAAAAAAGCCAAAGGCTTAGTAACTTACATATTCAGTAACTATACATGAAATATACAGTGGATTTCTTTGTGGGCCAAGATAACACCTGCCTCTTTCCTTTATACAGAAGACACACCGTCTCATAGTTCTAATAGCAATGGTTATTGGGCATTTCTGTGTGCCAGGTGTTACATTAAGCATCTCTGCACCCAGTATCTTATTCCTCTCACGTCACTGTGAGGTGTACTGACTTGGTTAAGGTGGAAATGAACCCCAGGTGTGTCTGACTCCAAAATCCACACGCTTCGATCTTCACCAGGCCACTGTAGGTCAGTTGCCAATGGATTGATCACCCCTTCGGCAGTCTACACCTAGGTGTGCTCCTGAATAGTGCTCTGTATTGAGGTAACTCAAGAGCCCGAACAGAGAGGCTACAACAATCCGTTTCAGAGAGGTGTTTAAAGCAGAGAGGGAAAGAGCCCCAGACTCTCCTGGAGAGTAGGCTGTGTTTATTTGAGTTGCGCTGGCCAGGGCCTAGCGTGGCGTCAAGGCTGTGGGAGGCCTTAATACATCTTATTCAGGGTTGATGGGGATGTGTCTAAAAAATGCAGAAGGCTTTTCCTTGGGAAGGTGGTTGGTCACACCTCAGTTAGCAGGGAGCATTAGTTCTAAGGGCCCTGTGCTCCAGTCTGTTCTCCACATGGCTGCTGGAGTCCTCTTTGTAAAACAGCCTGGCCCTGCCACTGTCTAGCCTAGACCCCTTCCTTCATTTTGAGTCTCTGCTGTGTACCCAGCCCTGCAGAGGGTAAAGAAGAAGCACGGTTTCAGCCGGCTAAGAAACGAGTCTTGTTTGAAAGCCCATGTACATGAAACCTAATTTTAGAGCCTGTCAGAGATCATTTGGTCTAGCTTTTCTTACAGAGTGTTCTGGAAAGCTGCAGTTCTTCCAAGTCTTGAAACTTCAGCAGTGAACTTTGATGAAGGCTCCAGGGAAAAGGTGTATGTTATGTACTCTCTGGGGTGTGACCACACGGTCCAGTCTCCTCTCTTTAACAGATAAGGAAGGGGGGCTGCGAGTTGAGAAAGACTCCAACATGGGGCGCCTGGGTGGCCCAGTTGGGTAAGCATCCTGCTTCGGCTCAGGTCATGATC